CCCTCCCCACCCCCCCCAGCATGGGACCTACCTTTGTGTCCCTGCATCTGCTCTGCATTCTGCTCTAGTAGCCCCCCCCGAGGGTGCCAGCATAGGGAAGGGGGTGGCTTCACCGCCCCCCTGGTGCGGGCTTAAAAATGCACTGGCTGTAGTTCTTTTCCCAACGGAGGCCTTCAGCTGAGTGTGTAGACAGCGTGTCTGCTGTCCCAGCTGACTTGACACAGCCCAGCTTCTCCTGGGACTTCTGCGAGCACGCTGTGTTGCTGTTTCTATATCCCATTTGAGGTGGAAGTGTTTCGGCCCCCCCAGCAGTGATGCCCCTGTGAAGCCGTGGATAGGTAGCGTACCCCAGAATGGGAGAAGGAATTCCAAGGCTGTAAGTGCTTTGTGGAGCAAGCCGTGTTTTGTTAGGGCTGAGCCGTTTTAGCGTTGCCTCGCGTTACATATATGAATGGTAGAGAGTAAAAACAAAACAAAGCAAGGTATGTTAAAGGAGTCCTTTACTGCAAGGAACAGTTCTTTACCGTGAGAAGAAAACACGTCCAAAGGTACTGTAAAATGAGTTCAGGCCATGAATTCTTCTACGAAGTGAATAAAGTTTGGCAGGAAACTAAAACCACGTTCTTCCCAGACCTCAAGTACTTACCAGTCAAGCACCTGAGTGTCTCCTCTGTTTTTACTCTATGGTGATGCTCAAACATGGGATTCTCTTTCTGTTGAGAATACTGCAGAAGCAATGCTGCTGCTTTATACGAATTACTTTGTATGAGAACTTCAGTTTTCAAATGTACACAACAGATTCTTCTGTCTTAAGAGGAATACACTTCCTGAGCAGTGCAAGGTGACTAGCCTGCTATACCCCACTTCATTCACAGGAAATTTTTCCATGAGCTTTTTAAACATTCAGAAAAAATGTCTGCGTATCCAGGAATTTCCAGAATAAACTGTGTTGTTTCCGAAAATACTTACAGACTCTTGTCCCTGTTGAACCCAGCAAAATAAATCGATCAGAAGTCTGTAGACTAAGAGGTCCAACAAAGGATGTAGAAAAATGCATAAATAAAGGAAATTCCTCTAATTCTGCGTTTTCATATTTTACAAGCTCCTTATCTGGTTGCTTTCAAACTTTTTCCAAAATTCTGTGGTTTGGCAGAAGTTCGTAAGGGAGAAGCTAAGGAGATTACATGTAGTCCTTCAATTTATAGCCAATTACATCCTTACTGAAGAATTGTTTCTGATAGAACCATTAATATTCTTTGCTTTAATTAGCAGCGTTAATGGCATATAAATTTTAGAGTTAAACCATAGTTTTAAAATGTGGTTACCTGTTTAATAGTAATCTGTGGTCATTTAAATTGAAATAACCTAAAAATTTGACCTTCATCTCATTAAAAACAATAAACGTGTTTGGGTTGCACTTTTACATTGGTTCTTTTAATTGCTTTTCATTATGAAAAGGCAATGAAGTGTTTGTGTAGCAGTGCAAAAGGAGGAGAGTGCTTCCCATCTGAGCGAAACTGCTTTATAGAACGTGTGAAATGAAATGTTGTTTCCTCTTGGCTTCTGGTAAATGTTTCTCTTACAGAATATGAAATTTGGTGCTTTGTGTTGCTTTGAGGAGATACTTTGCCGTTAAAAATGCTGCTTCATGTCTGAATAGCTTAGGTGATATCCTCATCTTGGAAGTGTATATGCTTATGTTTAAGTATATGTGTAAGTACTGACAGGATCGCGTTTATAACCAGATGAGAGAGGTCTAACGAACAGAATTTGAGCAGTGATGTGTGTTTTGATTGGAAAATGGTTGTAGTCGTTTATGACATTTACCCTGCATTGTAATTCACTCTCGGTTTCAGCTTTTTAGTCCATTCTAGGTGTGGAGGTTAGAGAGAGTGAGCAGGGGAAAGGCTGAAATCGGGAATGATTTTTATTTAGTTCTTATTAGACCGCGGCACCACAATATTTGTACAAATTCTTGAAGTGATTTGAAAGGAACAGGAAAATTGCAGGGCTGTTATCCGGAGTGACAGTACTGGTGAGGCTGGTAAAGAAAGGATGAAAGCGTTTGGTTTTTGACAAGAAGGTGGGAATTTCAAGCAATAACGTCAAGAGGAATTGAGACTCCCGCACAGAAAAGCGAGGTCGGCAGAGTCCGTGTGGTTAAGAACTTGGTAGGGCGTAGAGCAGCTTGGGGCGTGTGGGTCTCTCTGAAGAGGTGAAGCCTGCTCGTGACCCTCTGAATTCTGAGGGGTCTGAGGTTGATGGAGCAATGCACGTGCGTCCTGTGTGTCTGCATCTGTTACATGCAGCTGGCTTG